CTATTGTCAACGGCGATACTTCTTGGCTGCTCTTGTCCCTGTTTCCATATCGTTCCAAGAAGGCATCTAAAAGAAGTCGAGGAAACTACAACATCACGCTCCTCAACCTTCTGGGATTTGTACAGATTTTGAATGCCCTGCTGCCATGTTGGATGCCATTTTAATGACGAAAATCCCTTCCATAAAACAGACATGACATTCCGATGAACCTATCCCGTCATGCAAGTGACCTTGAATGTAATCTCCGATTCTTACAATGCAGTGGGTGCTCTCCCATACATAACGGAAATCTTGAGTCCGGATGACTATCACCGAGATAAGTTGTCGGGTGTCTTTAGTAATGCTTGACCTTTTTGCCTAATGGATCAGTCCAAGAATTCTCATGGCCTTGTTGACTTCAACGCATCTGGGCAAGCATCTCTGTGGCAAATCCTTCGACCCCTCTCTCTTGCTTTTTGAATGTTTCTCTACTCAATCCACCAGGTGCAAAAGCTGCCTTGACAATCAACGCCCGGAGCGGACTTTCAGACTCGCTCTCAATTAGAAGGGGTTTTCGGGGTTGGCCGTGGTGCCATGATGGTGAAAGATGTGAAGGTTAAGGCCTGGCTATGCTCGAATTGATTAATATGATGAAATTCTGGAATCGACTGGAACTTTCTGCCCTCTATTATATGGAGCTGTAGAGTTATTGTAAGGTTGACGTGGTTGTCGTCCAGAGATCGTGGAACTATAGAGTCGTAACCTTGAAGAAGTGAGAATGTAAAATTTGTCGAATATACAAGGTAGTGCACCTTCTTATAATCTTGGTGTATTAAATTTCTCCCTCGAGATCAAGGTCGAATCACAATCGACTTTGCCTTCACCTTCGATAGTGAAGCGACGTCCGGAATACGGAGAGACGCCAAGAATGAAGAATAACTTAAAGAGTAGGTCTATAATAATTTTGAGTGAGATACGCGGCTCGAAGGGATATTCAAAGCATAGAACTACTGATAACGACTCTAGAGAGGGTCAAGGAGCAAGCTGGGCCCATAACTTTCACTTAAATTATAAGTTAGTTGGATAAGCTCGGGCTTGGACAGATTTTAGGTGGACTATTGACTGGTATACATATATTAAAGAGAAAGCATTCGGAAGCTAGAAATTGATTCCTTGGTTAGTATGATCTCCTACATCTTCGCAGAAATGATCGAAAAATGTCTATGGTTGAAAAGCAAGTAAGAACCAAGTATTTCTTACCCACAACTTCATCTCTCGTTCCACATCGTGTGCGAAGCCAGCTCCTTTTATTCCCCTTTGCTAACACCAAATAAGGCTACTTTATCTCGAAAGGAGTCGTATTCCATGAACGCATAATGACTCAAGAAGAACCCCCATCGAGACTCAGCCATATCTAGGTCTTGCTCCGACGTTTCCCCCATAGTCTCAGATGGGTTTTGAGTCCTGCAGCCCTCATTCCTCTTTTAAGTTCCTGGATGTAACAATCTGAGGAATCTGTTGAAAATCTTCAGTAGTGTAGCCATCACTTGAAATCCGTCTATCCTAAAGCCTCCTACACAGTATTGGTTTCTGGCAGTGTGGCTCAAGCTAACATTTTTCTGACGGCATCGCATGTTTGCGTACTAGTTTCACTTCGTCTTCTGGGACAGTTGCTTGCGACAGAGCTACAAGGAAGCAGAGCAACTCCTCTTGGACATGCGACTGAACTTCAGTTTCGATTACGTGGCAAAAGCGGTGTGTCCACCGGTGAGTAATGAGTGTTCAGACGGACTCCAGAAAACAGTTGAACAAGATCAAAAACCATGCTCATAATATTTCCTATCGAACCTACCCAAGTAATGTCGCCGCAATAAGGCCATTCCTCGAAAAGAGATCACCAGGTAGGGTCTAGCTTTCCAATCCAGCTCTCACCCACCGCTCTGAAGATCCTCACTTCTCCACTAACTATATGAGCCATGTTATACTTTCCTGTCTGAACAATCTTCTTGCCTCCAGAGTTTTGTTGAACAACTCTTAAAACGCCGTCCGGCTCCACACCTGTGATGACAGCAGTGTGGTCTGGGTTACCAGCCCACGCCTGCCCTCCATCCGGAAATTTGAAATGGGCCTTGTAAAGCTGAATAACATCGCCCCTGGCCACACCGGTATCTCTCACTTTCCCTTGAGGTTCAGTATTCGCGGAAGACGGTACATAGGAATACATGAGGTAGCCGTGAATAACTCCTTGCGATGCCATACAAGGCTCTTGGCCACGTGAGGAACACGTTGCAGCAACTGCCTTAAGAGCGTCATTGGCTAAAGTCCAGCACTCACCGTTGCCTACTTTGTTGCCCATTTGTGACTCACTCCACTCCGCAACAGTGTTAGAATACCTAGTTGTGTCAGAGTGAGCTTTCGAAGGACGGGTTGCTTACCTCATGCGACAAGACTCAAGCTCACTTTGACTGAGCTTCCTGGGAGGAGGATCATGTCTTTGTTGAGCTTTGACTGTTATACCAGGATTACTAGCATCCCATGTTAGGTGGATTTTTGAGCTTGCTAAAGTCACAGTGTTTCGGACATGGGCCGTGAACGTATGGGTTTCCCGGACGCCGGATCTAGACCACCCTGAATCAATCGAATAGGTTATTTTTCCGTCTCGATTCATAGTTGGTGGCGGAAAGGACGGAGGCGATTTAGCAAACCATAAGGACTTAAGATCAAGATCGTAGTCTTTCGCCTCATGAGAACTAGTTGGCTGGGAAGTCAGCGGACGATTTCTACGACCCTGCTCGCGACCAGATGTATTTAGACGAGAATGATGATGAGAGCGGCGATGAGGGCGGTGACGAGCAGGGGGACGTGTTCGTCCCTCTCGGCCTTGCTGGGGACGGGGAGTAGCATTTGCGTTCAACTCCTCTAGCAGGTGCTCTAGTCTTGCCCTCAGATTACTGAGCATTTTGATCGACTTCGGAAATGCTCAGTTCTGTTGAACTTCAAGACCAGGGAAGAAATTTTTTAACCTTAATTGGAGAGAAAGATTAGTAAAGACTTGAGTCATTTGTACATGTTCTGAATACCATGATTCGCAGCCAAAATCAAGGCCACAGCCAATTTGATTCATATGTTTTAATCATTGCCAGAGGTGATTAATGTACGCAGCTTCAAAATGCAAATAAGTCAGATCAACTACTAATAAGAAGCACCTACTTGAGGCTTTGGCTTGCTGCTTAGAGGAATCGGCGGAGGAGTGGGTTCCTGCGAAGCTGCAGGCCCTCCCAATCCCACTCTCTTAACAGGCGGGGGTGGTGGCTTCTTCTTTCCCAGAACACTCAGATCGGGCCCTCCATTCGCTGGTCCACCAATCGTGTTGTCTCTCATTTCAATCTGTAGATTTTCTGGTTCTGATGCTTGTGTGCTTGTGATGCCTCCATAGCTTCCCACTTTGTCGGCGATCCCATATTTGGAATTCAGCTTATTCGCGGTTTGGAATCCCGACTTGACTTGTTCTCCGTGCCGTTCTCGAAAGTTATTCGCCGTGGTTGCTGCAGCTCTTGCATCGCTTAGTGATACAGAGGAGGGATCGTCTCGAAACGCCGATGCTGTCTTCAAAGCTGCTTGCTTCTGAGCAAATGTTGTTCCCTCGCTGGGACTTTCTGGCTTGGCTGATGTAGAGGGGGATAAGCGGGAGAAGCGAGATTGTAGCTCATTCAACTGTGCTGAGTTGGTGGATGAAGCTGCTGGAGTTCGTGAAGGAGAAGACGGGCCTAGTGGAGGTAGTGATTGTCTTGCTTTCCCAATACCAAATTCTGGAACAGACACGCCTGCAGCACTCAATCTACTCATTGAGCCTTGATTGAGTATTCCTTTATGAGAATCAGGCTCAGAAGTTGCGGTGCCATAGGTAGGAGGCGAGGATATAGGATTGGAAGTCTGCCTAGGTGGTAACCTTGGAGGAAGGCCTGGCTTTGGCTTTGTTGCTGGAGGAGTCCTTCCATCTGCCCCATCTCTTCGTCCTGGTGGCGGTGGCAGATTCGCCGTGGACAGTCCTGTGGTATCTGCTCGAAAAGGGAGCGGAGGTCCCTTTGGCTTCGCCGCCCCTTCTGCTTCTCGCTGTGCCTCCTCCTCCTCTGCCTGCTGCTTTGCATATATCTCCTCCTTCGATAAGGGTGCTCCCCAGCCTCCAGTGTCGGGTGTTATTTGGTTTGGTAAAGCTGCGCCACCATGATAATTGACATTCTTCGGTGGTGGACCAAAAGCTGCGGGATCTTTCAGGGTTGACAGAGGTCGCGATACATGATCGTGGGCCTTAGCAGCATTGGTATCCTTCCCTTTGCCTATCCATCCCGCTACTTGATTAATGCCTTTATTATCACCCCTCCACGACTCTTTCGACGTCCCATCCTTCCCTTTTGGATGCCAGCCGCCCTTGGCGAGTCCTTTGAAATCTGGCATGGTTGATCGCGAGTTGAAGATGGCGTTTCAAGGGTTCGGTGACGTCGGGCTTTAGTGGGGTCCTCGGCTGGGTGTGGCTGTAGAATCTACTGTAACATAAGCAGACTTGAGACAGTTAGGAAATTATTATTTCTACAGGTTTGCATTTCATATCCCTAATCTGATGCAACTGGCATATTATACTATCCGTGAGTATGCTATCATTATATCATATGTCCTGCTTAATCCAGAAAGACATTGATCAATAAATTATAGTGTATTACTTGCCGACTCTTAGTTGTTTAGACACCTGAATCGGAATCATCTTTACCCTCAAAACTTACTGTTCTTGATATTTAGTTGATTTCAGCTCGCAACCAACAGTTTTGTGTGATATATCGGGTAATTGTACGTGTATTATGCTTGTCCCTCTGGTTTCTCGTTGAGATACTTAGTAGGACCAACGGACCCAATAAGGTTATGTCATCAGGTCTCGCATATTATGGCTCCGCTAAAAGCCAGTTACGGATACAACCCTCACGTATCAAAATAAGGCCCTTTTTTGCCAACACCGTCCGGTTAACACCGGCCTAGTGGCCTAATGGTTAAGGCGCCAGGTACGCTGTTATTATCACTAACTAATTATTATAAAACTAAGTGGTTCACTAGATTTCGGCGGAGCATTTGCACGCTTTAGATTCTCTGGAGATTGGGAGTTCGAATCTTCCCTGGGTCGTAATAATCTCTATGAAGCACAGCTTCAATAAACTTTTGGCGACTGTATAAGGTATAGATAGGCCTGTTTTGATCTTATAAATGTTTCTTTTGTATTTTTTATCGCTAATTGCTGATGGAATCAATGGACACTGAATCCTTCTTTTCATAGTCTCGCCTAGAAAGAAGAGTACGTTATTCGATTACAGCTGTTGCTCTCTCGTAACCGCAAGGAAGAGGGTGCTCTAAATTATAGAGTTCGTAGGCGAACCTCAGATGCCCAAGAGCCTCAAGCTAGGAGGGTATTTTTTGCAATTAGCTGGTACTATCTATGGCAAAATTGGAAGTACTCACTAGGGAAACCATCAACGCAATGCTAGAACCCTCGCTCGGAACGCAAAGTATAGATTAGATATAAAATAGTATGAATTTTTTTTTGTTGCCGAGTTGCACTATATTGTGAGCCGCACTTATATTTTCACGCAGGAAATTAACTGATTCAAGGATTCGCGACACTCTAGAACAGTTATCACACAATATGCAAGGAGCAGTCGCTATAAAACTAGGGGTTTCCTATATTATACATCTTTTGAACGCGAGTTGGATGAGATCATTTGCATCGATGCCTCTCGACATGCGTTCTGCATCCACACCCCAGCCAGGCCTATCTTTGGCTAAGCCACGCGAAATCGGAGCTACTTTCCCAGATCCTCGTTTTAAATTGTGATTGAACTTCGACTCTTACATCTCTCACCGCTCTGTGCTGTCACACTGACAGGCACAGCACCCTTCTCCTACGAATGCTCACACTCTTACCTTCCAATTGACCAAGAAAACTTACTTGTTTTGTTGGCCCGACTTGAAGGGGTCTCAATTGACGGCCAAGATGTCTGCCTCGATACCAGGAAATCGGGAGCTCCCAGCATCTCAGTATGACCTCGGCACATACTGGGGGCGTGTGATGCACTCCGCCAATATTTCCGATCCCAGGTGAGGAGGGCGTTTTGCTTCCTTTAGAAGGTGGTTCTGTTGAGCAAGCTGCGTCGAGGACAACTGCTAAACTTTTCCCAGGACGCTCCTCGTCAATGCTGCTGGTTTGGAGCACGCAAAGAGCCTGCTTGCAGGATATAAGCAAGGGAAGATTGGGGAAATGAATGCAGAGCTGTGGAATGCGAAAAATATTGTCGATTCAACCTTACATCCAGGTAGGTGCTGCCAGTCACGAGTAGCAACAGATGCTAATTGCTGTAGATACTGGGGAACCAGTCTTCCTCCCCTTTCGAATGTCATGCTTCGTCCTGTCGAACTTGGTTGTCACAGCTGGTATGCTTACACCTGGACTTGGGGTATGCAGCTCAGTTTATTCTTCTAAACTCAAAACTGAATCTATGGCAGACTACTGGCACACTCCTCTGGCAAATCACCAACCAATCTCTTAACGTTGCGATCAACAACGCGAATGCCAACAAATCTACGCCACTGTCTGTCTCAAAGATCACACAATCATACTTCTTGGCTGTAGGAGCTTCTTGTTCCGTGGCATTGGGTCTTAATGCTCTCGTTCCACGGTTAAAGAAAGTCACGCCAGCCACGAAGATCATACTCTCCAGATTGGTGCCATTCGCAGCTGTTGCAAGTGCCGGAGCGCTAAACGTTTTCTTGATGCGGGGAGAAGAGATCAGACAAGGGATCGACGTATACCCAGTTCTCTCGGAGTCAGACAAAGCCAAACTTGCAGAGGAGGGCAAGTCCGAATCCTCAGTCCCATCTCTGGGAAAGAGTAAGAAAGCAGCTACTCTTGCTGTCTCGGAGACTGCTCTCAGCAGAGTCCTGAATAGCTCCCCCATTATGGTGATCCCGCCGCTGATTCTGGTCCGACTACAAAAGCAAGAATGGCTTAAGAAGAATCCAAGACTCACTCTGCCTGTCAATCTAGGACTGATTCTGACCACGAGCCTCTTTGCTCTGCCCTTGGCATTAGCAGCATTCCCCCAGAGACAGAGTGTTGATGCTTCAAGTCTGGAAAAGGAGTTCTGGGACAAGGGTGGTGAAAATGGCAAGGTTGTGTTCAACAGAGGCATATGAAGCTGTGCAAGAGACTCTGAACACATTCCTAAGTAACGACTTCAAAGACCAGCACACCGAATTTCAAGAAATACATTCAACCGGCAACGAACAAACGGCGGCAAAATTTGGCGTTTTCATCCTGATACAGCATTTTTGAGCATGGCGTTATGATGGTTGTGGGCTGTACTTCGAAGATTCACAGCAAACAGATAGAAGTGGTAAATGGAAAACCGATCACAGAGCAATATATACAATCGAAACTTCGACCTGGGAAATCCAGACCCCTGAGACTATTATGATCACGTGTCTGGCCAAATTCCATCCCCACCATTTCTCCGGCGAATGAGGTCTCTGCATAAAATGATGCGACGATGAAGGCGATCACACCTCACGCACGTCCATACTAAGCTTTTCATAGAAACACTTGATTTATTTGTAGCTTCGTTTGTTTCCAAAGTGTGGAGGACTTCGGTCTGAATCTCCGTGAGACATACTGGCAAAAAATGGCGATCCTTCGCAGGTCGTTTGTGAAATTGCCACTCCAGAAACCCGATGTTCCCATTCGAGGAGGAGAGAGGGGTCAGGTCGAACGCGTACAAACGCTAGGCTTATCACGAAATCTCTACATTTTATCGGAACATTGAGGCAATAACCGGATGCGAGGAGGGGGCAACTTCGACTTTTGAGTCGAATGTGGAGCAATCAAGAAGTGCTACCTGGGCGCGACTTGCTCGATTTCTGGGGGCTTTCCTTCGACCTCCTCATTCCTGGCTGTCAAAAATAAAGTCTGCTGGTGAGTTCGGCAAATTGAATCGCCTCCGATTTGCATAGGCGGAGGGCTGCAAGGCGGAGGACCGGCTTGTCTGCTGAGCTTACGACCAGGGAATGTTACTGGTTTACATGCGGAAGGGCTTATTGGGGAAGCAGCTTTAGTTGATTATCAGAGCATTGGGGTTGAGGGCACTGTGGTTGCCCAGAGTGATTCCTTGAGTGCCACCGCTGGACTGTGTGGAGAAGACGTGAAGAAATCTAGCTGCTACGCGGATCATAGTAGAAATGAAGTCAAGATCTCTGTTGGCAAGAAGTATGCAAAGTTATCAGACAGGAGTGAATGCAAATGGAGTGAGGCGGCGCGAGGGTGAATTTGTAGCTGTCTGCTTTGCTTCTGGTGCTGCGGCGCCCACGCGCCTGAACAGCCAAGTGCACTCCCTCGCTAGTGGCTAACCACAGGCAAAGAACGAGCCCGCCCAACTTTCAGAGAAGCAGCTTCGACACGACAACCACTTGCTATTGTCAAGCGCGACCGACATTGTTCTCCAGTGGTGTAAATACAGTCCAAGACCACCAAGGCCTCAACTTCCCGCGAACAATGCTTCGCGTGGATATCTAGGTCTTTTCAGCGCCCGCCCCGTGGACCATTCCGACCACCAGATTTCACAACAACTGCGAGTCCACCTCTCATCGACCATCAATCCAGTCTACAGCACTGCAGAGTCGATGCTGTAGCCCCCTCCGGCATACCACAGGCCTGCCGGCGAGTCCACGATAAAGATCTCGGTGCTGTCGTCTGAGCCCTTCCCCGGGTTCGAAACGACTACATTTCTCGATGTCGACGCCGTCAACCCTGCCCCCACACCACCCGAACTACGGATATTCTCATCACCAGAACTATCAATCGAACGGCGGCTATCGAGCGAACAACACACTCTTGAACGGCGGCAGCCGGCTGGGAGCGCCATACAACTTCCCGACTCCCTCGAGTAACGGTACTTCTTCGAACAGCGTCGGTGTAGCCGACCCCTCACGAACAAGTCAAAACGCGGCACACTCGTCCTCAATACACGAAACAAAGCCATCAGCCATGCCTATCTCTTCCTCAGCCTCAGCATCGAGGCCGAATCCGAAGAAACGACAACGCTCCCGAGAACCCAGGGAGCCCGATTGGCACAAATTCTACAAAAATGGCCTGCCCAAAGAGGTCATCGTCATCGATGACTCTCCTACTCCCGAGCCATCAGCCTCTATACTCTCAAATACACAAGCAACCCGTTCCGTAGCTGGGGAAGGAAGTCGACATGCTGCAAAGAAGCGAAGACGAGATGACGTCGGCGCTGCCTACGATCCTGTCTATCACCTTGAGCCCTCCCACTCTCTCAATCAGAGCCCCGAGTACAAAGACTCATCCGGGTCAACAATCTCAACCGATCGAACCACATCTGCTATTCATACAACTGCAGCCACTTCTTTGGGCTCCCACTCTTCCAATGGACAGAGTGGATACGAGGCTGCAGAGGTCCAGCCAGGCCAGAAGAGAAAGCGTACTAATACTCGGCTTCAACTTGCCAACGAGGCAAGGCAGAAACAACTTGAGACCAATGGAGATGCCTTCACCAGCTATAAGCCTCCGCCGAGACCACCTATTAAGGCTCCGGATGTCCAGGTGAAGCAAGTGGCCGATGTGAGTACTCGATCATTCTATGGAAGAATCAGCGCTGACAAGATTCAGAATTCGTACACTAAGAACAGTAAGGTCGATGACGATGATGGACACTACATCGTTGTGCCGGACACTGACTTGACGGACCGATGTGAGTATCACTTACTCCAGCGGACCTACACGATACTGACCATCTTAGACCAAGTAACCAAGCTCCTCGGCCAAGGGACATTCGGCAAAGTCGTGCAAGCCCGAGACAAGAAGCGGAATAAGCACGTTGCAATCAAGATCATTAGATCAGTCCAGAAGTACCGAGATGCTTCACGTATAGAACTTCGAGTTTTGTCGACTCTCAAGGCTAATGACCACGAAAACCGAAACCGATGTATACACCTTCGGGATTGTTTCGATTACCGCGGACACATCTGCATTGTCATGGATTTACTTGGACAGAGTGTTTTTGATTTCCTGAAAGGCAATGCCTTTGTCCCGTTTCCTAACAGTCAAATTCAGAGCTT